CGAGCAGGGAGCCCGATGCGGGACTCGATCCCGGGACTCCAGGATCATGACCTGAGCCGAAGGCAGTCGCTTAACCAACTGAGCCACCCAGGCGCCCCTCCTTAGGAAGCTCTTAATGTCAGAATTTAAATAGGATTTCAATATTTTATTTTTAGTTAATAATGGGGAGAATTAGTGTATGTCAAGCGCATTAGTGTCAACTGTCCAGACTTACGTTTTTTTGTTAATCTTTGTTTTTCTCTATTTCTTTTATGTCTTTTATTAGAGCAACTATTAAGAATATATGAATTCAGTTTTACTTTTTCTTTATTCATTACATTCTTACTTCATGCAAGTCTCCATTTTGTGTACCTTTTTACTTAAATATCAACTCTCTAAATTAACTTCTTAATTATTAAAAGCTGGAATTCACAAAGCTGAAATCTGTATATCCATATGAGAACTTGTGTGTTTTTGAAATATTAGGTAGAATTGAGTATTGTGTTTCTAAATTTGAAAAATTTGCTCACCACTCTTTGTCAGACAGTATGTTTGGCTCTAGCTGAGAATGTTCCTGTAGTGAGCTACCTTTACCAATTTAGACATTCCTATGGTCAAATTCGAGTGGTATTCAGATGACCAAGGCATTGACTGTCCTGTGAAATTCTCCTCTCTGACATGCTGTTTCTAGTCATTTCCACTGCAACTTGCATAAAATTCTTATGGTTTCTGGGTGAATTTCAATACACGACTTCATAGTATATTTTTTGAGCAAGACCATTAGACAAAAACCTCCGTCTGTATCAGTGTTTTCAACATAAGCTTCTATTTCTCATCACCAACACGACAGATATAATAACTGGAGTGACTATCATTTCAATAATCTCAAATAGCAAAACTATTGTTTATCAAATCTTCACTTAGATAGAAATTAGAAACCAATTCAGTGCATGACTTCCTCAGAGCCACACGCTGACGTAGATGATGGGAGAAGGCAGGCCAGGCCTTCGAGGGACATTCAGAGCCCTGCTCTCTGCTCTCCCTCTGGGGACGGGCTACCTGCCAGGACACGGTGAGGACCCGTGAGTGCAGCGTGCCCGTGGCCCAAATGCACCCGGGCCCCTCAGTGCCCACCACCAGGGGAGGCGTGAGAAGTGACCTACCCCCACCGCATGACACGGAGCACTCGGAGCGGATGATGGTCCACCTGTAGCGAGGCTGGCTGCCAGGCTTTTCCCTGCTCAGCCGAGGCACCGAGTACTCCCAAGCAACACCCGGGTTCCTTCCCTGAAACAGAAGCTGTAAAATAAAAAGGGGGAAAACAGAGCAAGTTAAAATGGAACTGATAAATATAAGCTAATTTTTAAATAATACGTAAACATCAATATCAACAATCGGTGTTACAATGGGAAACACTGTCCATCCTCCAAAATGTATATGAACTTTTTAAACAGAAGTGAACTGCCGGCGAGAATCAGGCTCGTTTAAAAAAATGTAGATATTTTACTCTTTGGCTTTACATTTAGGATATTCCTCCGTGCAAGACTTTGAACACCTTTGCAACCTAACGAAAGTGTTTGGTAACGTCCCCCAGTGTTTCCTTGGGATCCCCCGCAAGTCCTGTCCATCTGAGAGAATCAGAAAGCAATGCCAAAAGGCACTGTCCCACTTCCTAGTGATTCCAAGCAGCCCAGGCCTCTTGAGTGGGCATCACCCATGCCACCGTCAAAGCCAAGTCAGAGGACTTGCTAGTGTGACCGGATGCAGAGGTCTTTTGCCACGTGGCATGCACCCTGTAGATCCAGAAGAAAACTATCTTATCAGTAAAGATCTCTCAGGTTGAGCCTGTCCGTGAGCCGTGGCTTGGCACCTTGTATTTGGAATCCTCACCTCCTAGCTTGAAACCCAATCATGTGGACCAGTTCCCTTTCACCCATGAATGTATCGGATCCACTGATCTCAGTGAGAAGGCTTTTTATTGTGGAAACCTCACCATTAATCCATTGGTAGAAATCCCTTCTCTGAGTCTTAGAGCCTTTCTTGGTCCTGATGTGATGTGCCAGTGGGTAAAGATATTGGCCCCTCCCTGACAACCTGGCACCGCGTTCCCCTCCCTGACAACACAGGTCAAGTCTTAGTTGCTGAAGGTGTTGTAGGACAGGGGAGGGCCCCGGACAGGTGGAGGCACGGCCAGGCCACTGAGATGTTCTCCTGCCTGACATCCTGAGCCTTTGCAACTCTTCTTCCATCCAGAACAGTTCCTAATAAGCCATGTTCATCTTCACACTTGACCTATCTCTCCTTCTGTGTGATTATTCCAGCTGAAGCCTGAGATGGTGGGAGAAATAATCAAGGCAAGGATTCAGGGTGAGGAGAACAGATCAGGGTCAGGAGGGGAGACAGAGGTGGGATGTGTGCAGATGGGGCGACTGCCCCCAGACCGCTGGGGGAAGCATCTCCCAGGAAGATATGAGAGGACAGAGGGGGCTGCTTGGCCCCCAAAGCAGGTGGGGGACATCTGAGGGGCTCACATCTGTGTATCCAGTTGTGGGCTGGTGGGGCAACTTTTGAACCACGTGCTTTAACCGTGCACAGAAATACAAAATGTAAGGAATTAGCATATCCAGTGCCTGCCACCTCCATCTGCCCAGTCCCATGGGGACAGATCATGTTGTAGGAAGAGACTAATAGCAGCTTGTGAGCCTCTGCGGTCGTGGGTAGAGAACAGAAGGGCAATGGGTCAGGAGGTGGCTGCGTGGCCCCCTCCCTGCACACCGGGGCCCATTTGAGGGCACAGCGGGGGCTTTGCTTCTGGGTGCTCATCTCGCTCCCATTCCACAGGATTCAGTGGAATGCTGATCCCACCCCAAACACAGGCAAAGGCAGAGTCCCCTGAGTGTCCAAGCTTTTCACAGCCAGACAGCTTACAGGACAGGGGCAGACTTTTGTAAAAATCCACTTATGTAAAGGACCCCAAACAGGAGCTGCGTTATGTGCATAAATACAAATTTGGTGAGGCCCCAAGAAAGGAAAGAGAATGAGTCGATGGCCCCATTCAATGTACCCATTAGTCTTGTTTCTGAGACGCCATCAAGTTGTAAACATTATTCTCTGCATTTAAAATTATTCCCATAGCCCTCGATCTGCACCAATGCCAGAAGACCCCCGCATCCCAGCCCGAAGATGAGAAGGCTGGGGTCTACCTCCACAACCAGTGTTTCGTTGGTTGGCCCAGACGAGGTTAAGCTCTCCGGCTGGTGGGAGGACCGTCTGTAGTCAAACGTGGTGCCTGAAAACTTGTATCGGCCGGGCCAGTCGACCGTCCAGTGTCCGTTCAGGTAGTATTTTTTGAGAGCGTTGCGCACAGAGATGTAGGAGGTAGACACGTTTATCTCGTGGATGCGAATACTCCGGGCTCCAGGAGGAATGGTGACCATCTGATAATACTCTACAGTAAAGGAATCAGGATCGGGGAGAATGTGGTTTCTCATTCAGTAACACCTACGTGAAATCCCTACGCACCTGGGGTTCCCCACCACCAAAACCTGAGGATCCACATTGGGAACCAGGAGAAGCTCTGGTGTGGCAGTCAGTTCCATTAGGTCTTTAAGTGGCTTTTTCTTTTTTTTTTTTTTTTAAATTGGAGCAGAACTGTTATCATTTTCGCTAATGGTAACCTAGCAACCGCTTCCCATCCAAAGGAAAGGCTTGACAAGTAAAGCAGGGAAGGAGATCTGTAGGCCTTTGAAGGACCCGTGAGGCTGCTGTCCCCCCTGCACCTCCAGGGTCTCCCACCAGGAAGTCCCACTCTCCATGTTGTCTCCACACCTTCGGGCAGCTTCGCGTACTCACGGTTGGCGCCATGGTGCTTGGCATAGAGCCCCTTGTGCGTTGTGCAGTCTGAGTTATTGCCCCTGCACACACCACAGGAATCTTCTACAGCATTGGACCCAAGGACATGGTCACATCCGACTCTCTGGGGGACCGGGGTCCCACGTCATTCGTGCAAGAGAAGACGACAAGGGCAAAGTCACAGACCTCCAGTGAGAAACCTCCCCGAGACGGCAGAACATTTCACCCACACAGGGTAGTTCACAAATATTTATTGGATACCAAATATGTGCACAGCGAGACTGTAACTCGACTCTCGGGTCCAAAGGAGGAGACCCTGACTCCTGTTCTCTTCAGTACGGCTGCACCACCTCAGTCTCTGGAGCCCTCAGTTAAATCTCTCAGAGCATCATGCTGGAGATAACAGTGCATTTCAGACTGACACAAAGCTCTTCTTAGTGGAGATGACAAGCAGTGTGTCCGCAGGAGGGTCCACTGGACCATGCCCCATGCCTCTGTATCACCGCGTGCAATGCAGAGAAGTAGCACACGCCACGTGGGAATTATTCCCGGCAGCAAATTATGTAGCAGGCGTATCTGTTTACTGTCCTAGAACCTAAGGAGCTCTCTATAATCTCAGTGGTGCTGCTGGTGTTATACCTCCTAACAAAGAGTTAGTATATACAAGTAAAAAAATCCATTCAGAAATGAAGTAACTACAGCCTGCAAGTCCTTGCCTGAAATCCTTAGGGCCGATGCATTTCAAAACTCAGGGTTTTGGGATTTTAGGAAGGTAATTAACATATCATGCATACAACGTGAGAGTCCCAGCAGGACCCAGGGCAGCAACCCTAATAAAGCACATAAATGATGTTTCTATAGTAAAATGCGAGCATCATAACTCTAAGCGAACTAAATAAAACTGAAAAAAAGTCTCATATCAGTTCAGGGCAGGTTTTGGCCAGTGAACAAATTCAGGGAAGCTTACATTGTGCAGCCCAACAAACTTTCTGTTAGATAGCTTTTGGGATTTCAGAACTACACGTAAGGGGTTGTGACATTGTATCATTAAGGATACCTGAAAATAATGAAGTATTTAACAAGTCAACTAGTAATTAGACAAAATGGACAGAGATCTGAACATTTTAAAGCTGAAAGAAATCTCAATAGATCGGAGTCGATCTTCACCTACTAAAAAGGATGACACTGTGTGTCTCAGGGGATGACCCTGAGGGGATGTCTCAGGGTAAAGAGCCTGGTCATCCAACTCAGAGAAATCTAGAAGGAAGCCCAAGGCCCTTGGACTCGTGGGTACACAACCCGAGTCACCTCAAGGAAAAACCCATTGTTCACATGCAATGTATTTGATCCGGTAAAGATTTCACTTTCTGCATGTAACAGAATTCCTTCCCCATCCCACCTCTGCATGGGGCGGCAAGCTCAGGGCTCTATGGCCACTTAGCCACCAAATCGTTCCCAGCCTCTCTTCCAAGTCCCTCCACCAAAGAGACCCCTGCACAATGCCAAGTGGCCTCCGGGCTCAAAGCTGTCCCCATCCTCACTGCTGCCCATGTTACTGCAGGTTGACCCCCGCTCTGCTCCTCCCGGGTCCCAGGGCCTGTTCCTCCCTGATGTGAGGATACAAACCCTCTGAGCATCCCTTCCTGCCCCCTCACCTCCCTCGGCACCCCGGCCCTGCCTGCCCTCGGGTACTCTGATGCCTGAGTCGGGGCCTACCAAACCAGGCCTTCTCGCAGGAGTCTGCTCCCCCAAACGCCTCTGCCAACTCACCCTTCCAGATCTAGCTCAGAAGCTCCCTTCTCCAAGGAGCCCCATAAATCCCCCAGATCCGCTTCCAGGAAGGAATCCGCTCTCCCCCGCTCCCCATCCTCTGTACGCACCTCGACTGCAACAAACCCCATGTGTCTCAGTGTGTGTTCGTCTGGCATCCCGCCCCCCCACCAGGCTGTGAGTCGGAGAGAAAGGGTGGGATTTTAATGTCTGGTGTCTTTAGCCCCTTAGAGGATGCCTGGCACAAAGCAGACTGTCTGGACACATGTGTTGAATGAATGAACGATCATTATTACCTCACATATCCCATCTATACAAACATTACGGCTATCCTCCGAGCATGGAGTCCCATCTTTGACTTTATTTGACAAAGAAAAGAAGAAATCAAATCCTTCTGCGATACAGTAGAGTTTGCATAAGTGCTGATCTTAAAAAGAAATACACACACAAACACAAATAAGAAAGATACTTAAGCTCTGATCATTTTTGCTCTAAATTTTAGATAGACTTTTTAAAGGTTTTTTTTTTTCCCCATAAAATAACTTCCACACAATACTCATTGCAAAGACATTTTTTTATGGTTGTCTCAGGAGGCTTGGGTTTTTTCCCCTTTGATTTTTAATTTGTATAAGGCTTCACTATTAATTTTTACTCTGCTGTGTCCTTTCCTGCCCTTGTTCTTTACCCAGTAGTGGCACATAGTAGGCATTCAATAAATATTTGTTGACTTGAATACAACGTAACTGTTCTACTACTCGTATGATTAACTACTCTCTTGTAGAAATGCAAAAGGTCGTTACCATTTAGGAGCAATATATAAAATTCTCACAAATAAAATGTAATAAAAGAGTTCAAATGATCACCAAATTTCTTAATAGCTAACGCATTTGATGAAATATATATTTTTGAACTGATAAAAGGAATAACTTTTAGATGAACTCTCCAGAGGATAATGATTTCTATAAATATAATGATTGTCGAAACACACTGATAACGTGGAGAATAAAGGTATTATTGTACACTTCAGCATGGCAGATCAAGGTGACTTCCTCTCTTGATAATCTATTTCAAAGATTTTATGATTTACATAATTAATATGGACTTTCATAGAAACTTTTTCCCTTCATTCTTCTTGGTAAAGAAGGGAAGAGTTGATGATGAAAATATAGTCTGCCTTAGGAATTTTCATGGGCTCAAGACTCATCTACAAATATTTTCTTTATTGTATAAGATGAAACCAACTGAATAATCCTAACAGTCAAGTTGAGTATGTGCTTCCACGATAAATGTATTTATTTCCTGGGATCGCGGAGTCAGGAGTAACACACATATTTTGACCCTAATTTCAAAGTCCTTTCTCTTTTTTCTCCTGCCTACTTATTTCTCACTGGCTCAAATTTTACTGAGTTTAGGAGTTCAAAACACAACCAAAAATGCTTTGTGTGAAACTGCTTAAAATTTTCCTTTAAGACTGTACTGACTTCATCAAGCTCTCAGCCTCATCAGGGCTAGTTAGCTTTTTGTAAGTTCAATCCATTGTTTATCTTAGAGCGATACATACGCATGCACACATAGAGCATAAAGTACTCATCAGGGCTAGTTAGCTTTTTGTAAGTTCATCGAGCTCTCAGCAAGAAAACATTATGTCTATTGGGCTGGGGAGGGGTAACTTCAGAGGAGATTCACGTATTTCAGTATCCCCAGTTTCAAAGAGCGAGATGACTAGCTATTCTTTGAATTTCTCCTTAAATTACTGCCAAATGAGCTACCATGTTCAAGGTATTTTAATCTTAAGATTAATAGATCTTTCTTTCAACCTAGAGATTAAAATCGGACATATGGTGCAAATAACCTTCTTGGTTTAGATCAAGACTTTTGAAAATGATCTGCTTTTCCAAAAGATGCTAAAGTTTTGCTCCCATTCTCTGGCCATGATAAGTGTTCAATGGGGTGACATGCTTACAGCGATATCACCATCAACTGCCGTGATTTGTAAGGAGGAAAACATTGACCCATGATGCATAAATCCTGTATTTTGAAAGTTTTGTCACTTCTTTGAAGATCTGGCTGTATGGTGCACACCCTCTCTAGTTGCTTGCTATTTTCCGACCATGCAGCCGGTCCAGTTTAGACCAGAAGTCGGTGGCCGTGGGGCAGGCGAAGAGCCCTGGCAGCGACCTCACACAGCAGCACGGTCTATCCGAACAGCACAGCTAAGATCATGCCACTCTTGAAAGAGTGCAGATAACAAGCGCGAGGCTGGTACCGGGAGAGGGATTTAGGATTTACCTTCCACTTGGGTGTATGGCTTCCACGTGTAGCGCCATCCTCGGAACCGTTTGCCATTGTACTCGGCGCACTGCAGTGCGCGGAAGTCAAGGCTATTGTGCGGACACTGCTGACGGTTGCAGAGCCTCAGAGTACGAGTCGAGCCCTCACAGAACTTCCCTCCGTGCGATGGTCTGGAACGGTTAGAAACCTTGCATTCAATAGCGACTCTCCCCTCCCTGGAAACTAGGCTCATTGGAGAGGGGAGCAGATCCGGTTAAATGGCTCACAGTGACCGAGGGAGAAGCTACACACCCTGAGGGGACCCTGGCACTTTCTCACCATGAACAATATGAGCCGTGTTACTGATGTCTCTAGGGCAAGTTACGATGTGGACGTGGGTCTGACTGCTGCCTGTTCACGGCCGGTTCCCAGCACCCCTGCACAAGGCAGGGGCCATCGCTGTTCCCCGCACTCTATAGAGGGACCTTCTACCACCATCTTCCCTGCGGCCAGGCCAGGTCAGCAGATCGGCTTAGAAGTCGTGACCTTCCGCCGGTTGGTGCTGACAGCAAAGAGCACCTGCTCACCCCTCTAGAATCCATGTGGACACACCCCGGAGAGGGCACCCACTCAACACAAGGGACGTATTGGGCATCACACATTAAGGACATGACCAAAGAGCTGTCATATGACTCATGTTTTAAACCAATTGAGGTGAAAAAGGAGGACTGGGAACCTCCTCCACCCCACTGCACTGGGGACCACCTCTGATGGCCGTGTCTTCTCACAGAAGGCCACAATTAAACCACGGGCGGCAAAGCTAAATATATTGGATGAAAGACCAAACATTTGGCTTTTTGCACATAAAAAGTGGTTCTTACAGATTCTTATTCATTTGTCTATGCTTTCATGATTGATTTGCTTACCTTGGTATTTCACATAAATGTGGTAAAAATCCATTTCCTGAATACCACTGCTGGGTCTGTTTCCCTGTGCTATGGTCAAGTAGCTTCAAGCATCCTAAGTTATACCGAAGAGATACCACTGTTTGAGAAATACTTGACTAAAATGACTTCCCTATTTAGTGATTTTTTTTTTTAAATTCCAGTATAGTTAACACATAATGTAATATTCAGATGTGGTGCTCATCACGACAGGTGCACTCCTTCATCCCCATCACCTGTTTCTCTTGTCCCCCCATGTACCCCCCTCTGGGGACCATCAGTGTGTTCTCTAGAGTTAAGAGTCTGTTTCTCGCTTTGTCCCTCTTTCTCTTATTTTTTCCCCTTTTGTTGTTTGTTTCTTAAGTTCCACATATGAGTGAAATCATTTATCTCTTTCTCTGACTGACTTATTGCACTCAGCATAATACCCTCCAGGTCCATCCATGTGGTTGTACCTTCCCACTGATTCCTACAACACTATGTGACGTACGGATCAGTATTACCGTACGCAGGCTGTTGGGGAGGTTCACAGCCTAGAAATCGCTCATGAGGAGGACGTGCCGACGTGCTTACTTGGGATTTGTGCACAGGCGGTCTCTGTGAGAGACCCCTCCTCCGCAGGTCCTGGAACAGGGGGACCAGGAAGACCAGTCTGACCAATGGCCATGGGTGGGCTTGGGGCCTTGGTCGCCGTATTTCACACACTGTCCTCCACGGCACCACTGAAAGTTAAAAAAAAAAAAAGAAAGAAAGGTTGACATGACTCACGGATGGACAGGTGGGTCCATGGCTGCCGTAATGCTCAGCCCTGGGGAGCTCTGCAGGGTAGGCAGACATCAACATCCCACCTTCAGGTAGCACATAATACAAATAAAATTAATGTAGCTTTTTTCCTTCCAAACCTAACGTGGTTTTATAAATGCCCACGGAGGGACAATCCAGAGAAGAATCATTTTCTAACGTCTGAGCTGCTGGAATTCAGCACATTTAATTAAGTGGTGTTGCATGGATGTTCAGCCTGATTGTTGAGCTCTCCAGTGAGTAAACTCCAACCTCTTCTGGAACAACATGCTTTTCATAGCTCTTTGGAAACAGACAGAGTCTCGGGTAGAAAAGTCCAGCTGCAGGTTCCATATGACTCAACACCTTGTCATTTCTGGCCAGTGCTCTGTGCCTTCACTCCCAAGCACCTGGGCTCCGAGCCTGGAGCCTGGAGGTTGTTAGCGGATGCGTGTCAGAGGTCAGACCGCTTCCCGAGGAGATGAAACAACCCACACAGGGGCTCCATCCGTCCCCACGAGGCTGGGGATTCTATCAGCTCTTCTTTCTCAAGAGGAGCACTCATCAATGTTAGTTCAAGCTAAAAGCCACATGTTTACTTTGCTGCGATCACACGTAAAGGCCACACAACATCTAACGTTGTGTTCAGCGGTGCTGGTTTTCTACCCATGGTTTGGTGTAGACTTAAGGATCTTCTGGCCATCTGCTGAGAGGAGAAAAGGAACTGGCTTGTTCCTTGCTGCTGGCCTGCATGGAGCAGCAGAGCCCGGCCCGAGGGCTCGGGGTGGGGATGGGCTGAGGTCTCCTGTGTGTCTGTCTCCCAGATGAGGACCACCAGATTTGTTCTGGGCGAAAAAATGGGACTTTCCAAGAGGAAAATAATACTACTTCCATTATTAATTGTTGTGTTTGGTGAAAACATATCAAGTTGCTGATACCTGACCATTGTTGTCACACAGAAATGGAGTTACAAATGGTTTAATATCATTTAGGGAAGAAAAATGGAACATAAGTAATTCTGAGGACTAAAGCCTCATTCATTCAATTCTTTGATTCTTTCCAAGAAGTAAGTAAGTAAATAAATAAATAAGTCACTCTTTTGTTACCTCCTGGCCACACCCCAGGTGATAGAAGGAAGTCCTAGAATCCCCCTGACACCCTCAGCTCAATGAGGGGCATGCAGCTGACAGCAAGGTGTCTGCTCCCTGATGGCCTCGTGAGTCCAAGGAGAGAGCTGGATCTGGGCAAAGCAGGGACCAGCTCATGGGGACTTCGGGCAGGACCCTGGGACAAGTAGGGACACAGAAGGACACCGATGGATAAGGATGGTGTCTGTTGTGATTGTTTTGTCCCATTTTAAAAGAATGATCTGGTCGGAGCTTTCTAATACAAAGAAAGGAAATGGGAACATAGGAACCCACGAGTTGAAAACTCAGAAAATGTTTTCAGGTTTTAAAGTCACTTGAAATAATTCTTCCTTGATGGTTATGATTAAGCCAACAAGTTGGTTAAATTGATTTTGCTTCTGGTATTTAAGGATCACTTTAAGAAAATTTGGTTTAATTTTTTTTAAGACTTTTGATTTTTTTTATTACTCAAAAAAGCTTCATTTTTTTATTTAGCTTTCTGACTCAGTGCTTGGGCCTTCAAAACTTTCACAACGATTTTATGCTCCTCGATAAGGAAAACACGCTTGATCCTGTCACAAACACACTTAGCACACGCAGAACCACCAGAGGCCCTGATGACGTGTTTCTTCGTTTTGGACAACCTCATAAGGACTTTAGGTCTCACAGCACGAACTCCTCGAAGTCGGCCTGGGCCGACGCTACGTGCAGATTTTGGTGCTTTCCCAACCTTCTGGGTATAAAGGTAAACTATTCTATTACCAGGGGTTCGGGACAGCCTAGTTTTGTTAGAGGCTGTCCTGCAGGACAGCCTACAATGTTAGGTCAAACGCTGGACCATTCTGAATGCCTATGGACGCCGTCCCTGGAAGAGCTGGTTTAATTTTGTTTTGCAATTACACAAAGTACTTTTAAAAAAATATATGGTTTATTCCCTTTATTTTTTAATGAAAGGAAGTATTTATACAGATTAGTATTCCCTTGTCTTTGGTAAGTGATCACACACAACACATGTTCTTCCATGTGCTTCTCCACCTAATAGTGCGTCTGGAGATCATCACTTGGAAGTGTGTAGACAGGTCTCTCATTCTGCATTTGGGGTTTTGCTCTCTTCCTGGACCCCTGCATGATTCCCAGTCTGCAGCTGTCACAGTTGTTGCTGCCATGAGCGGCCTTGCCCATGCAGCTTCTGCTATCTGCACCAGAGTATCCTTAAATGACTATCCTTTTAAAAGTTATTTTAAAAAACCTTTCTGAAAATCTGAGGAGAAAGCACTGTACCTTCTGCCATGGAGGTTGGGGGGATGCAAGGGTGCGGGCAGACAGAAGCACAAACACACGTACTCACACACGACCTGGAGTGTAAGTCCACGCAGGTCACAGCCCTGTGGAGCCCACCGTGAGCAGGTCAGGGGAAGAGCCTGTGTTCAACAGACATATGACATTTCCACCGAAACACCAGTTAAGTTTCTGAGGACCGTCCCATGTTTTTCACCATTTTATATTTATTGATGGGCACTGTGGCTTTTGAGAGAAGGCTTTACCTTAGCAAGCAAGATGGCACGGTGTGTGCTTGCTTCTGCTGTGATGCTGTCCCCAGAGTCTGCATGTCACACCAAAACCAAGCACACACAGGAAGCACCCTGATAAAGTACAACAGCGGACTTGGGGAGAGGGGAGGAAAGGAGCCTCTGTACTAATTCTGCTGCTGTGTGGCCTGGGGCAAGTTACTCAAGTGCTCTGAGCCTGCACATCCTCCTGAGAACCTTAGGGATGGTACAAACTACCAGAATGAATTGTTCCCAAAATGCAATGCAATGACACAGACCAAGTACCTAGCACCAGGTGTAAATATAATGTGAGAGTGGTTTAATATACTACATTAGGGACCCATGATTGTTAGAGAGCTAGAATCTGCTTTCATATGCATTAGGCTGTAGTACGAAACCCTCGTCCTGGATTTCCCATGGTGTGAGCACAAAGGACCCTAGTGTTCTTTCCCTGGAAGGTTCCTGAGTACACAGGGGGGCTGCAATGGGCTCACCCTCACAGGGTGGTTGTGAGGACTGAAAGTATGTGATGTACTAAGGATGGAGTCTGACACTACAAAATGCAATTTAGTTCCATTTACCACCATGCACAAGCCTCAAAGGCAGCACAGGGTGGAGGGAAATAGGCCCCCACCCAGGAGAAAAGTGCACAGAAGCAGTATGGTTGCTGCCAGTCATCCAGGACACACCAACTGCTCTGGGATATCCTGGAAGCACTGAGATACTGACTTCTGGTAATGCACACGCCTAAATCAATAAACCTCAGGGACACACAAGAACCCATACACAGGAAGACACACAACTAACAGCAAAGGGAGCTCCCACAGGAGCCTCCAATGCTGCCCCACCGTGGGCACCGTGCAGCCTCTGGGCAGAACACATCTTTCCTGAGTAATTTTAGGCATGCGTTCTGGTTTAGCATGCACTATTTCTTTTTTATATGAAGGAAAGGCCCACATTTGGAAATACACTGAAAATAATTTAAAAATACCAATGACCATCAATTTAACTGTGCTTTCGGGGTAAATAAAATGTAAGAATATATAGGTTATTCTGAGGAAGGGCACTGCTCTGATCAGTCCTACAGGAAGCAGGCGACGGAGAAGCACCCCGTGCCCGTGTGACTTGAAACTCAGGGGCAACAGCGGGAGGGCGGACAATCTTTCAGGAAATGGAGACACTTTTGCAAACTATCACCTGAAGAGTAAATTTTAGCCAATTATGTGGAGAGAGTGATGACCAGCGGCAGCTTAGTACTCAGGCAGCTTCCCCGGCCTCCTGAGACAAGGGGCATTTCCACACCGCAGTGCATCCGCACGTCCCTTTCCTCTTCTGAGAATCTAAAAGCATTTTTATTCAGTTTTGGGGGGATTATAAGTTATGTAACTACTGTCGCTTATATCTCTGGAAGGATTTAAGAATCCACCCCACACTCCGGGGGACTGCGAATAAAGCACGGAGGCATGTGCAGGACAAGTAGCTGCTGGGCGCCCTTCCCAGGTAAGCGCACGCAGCTCTCTGCACGTCCCCAGTCAGTGTTGCAATACTTTCACCTGAATGCACGAGTTAGCGCTGTTTGTTAACATGTTTAACCCTTGCTGTCTGTGCTTACGTTTAAATAGGCTCAGGCTGTGACACATTTGCTTTGGAATCGACACATAACAGATCGGTGCTATTTAGACATGTATCTCTTTCATGTGCGTCAGTGTCACTAAAAAGGTCACACACCTATAGTGGCACAGAAATGGGTACAGGGCTCATTTGGGTCCAATATATCTCTATCTTTTTCAATGGTCTTGTATTTTAAAAAGAACAATGCAATCACAGGTTGAGTCAAAGGAATCAAAATAATACTCTTGGACTTTATGGTAATTTATTTTTGAATTTCAACAACAAAATTATTCTCTCCCAGTGAGTAATAAATGTGCTGTTTATTTCTTTCTTAATGTACTTCTTTTCCCTGCCAAAGCTCCTCTCCTTTTTCCCAGGAGACACGGTAAGTCAGAATGGTCTGCCCAGGGTCTTTAAATTGATGCTCTGTGGCTTTAATAATACTACTTAACTCGGGTTCTATATGTGGTTGAAATACGGCCAAGAGTTTAATGTTTCCCCTTATTAAATGGATGCAGTCACCACCTGTCGCCTGGCATCTACATCTACTAATTGCAGATAGCCCATCAATTACATCATCGGGAAAGGGGCAAAAAGAGGAAGGAGCCCCATTCACAGTATTGATATAAATTAAACACCGTCTTCTGACCTGGGGGTAAATTTGCACATAGAAATGAGGAACACGGGCTGACAAAATACTGACACAGGAGGAGGGGAGATGCATGGGTAGAAAGGCCCTGACATCTGAACATGACTCATGACCTAAGATTAAGATTAGCTCCTTACCATGTCAAGCCCACAAATAGTGCCTTCTGCTGCGGGCATAAACTTAGTTTCACATTTCCTTCCGATCCGGTGGCACCACAGGGCTTTACAGATATCCTACCAGGGAGAAAAGGTCATTAGTATTACAGATGATCCACAAATCTATAAAAAATATCACTGAAAAATTTAGGGAAAAGAACTGATATAAATTAAAAGCTGATAACTACTTAGCAGTAGATAGACAGAAGACCCAGAGACTCATGTTCTAGACTTGCCCCAACTTAATTCCATCCCTGAAACTTTATTTATTCATACGTATTTATCATAAATGTAACAAAATTATATTTTCTAAATTAAAAAGTAAAATATTCTTAATTCAGAAGTTGCAGAAAACTGCAGAAATTAAAATTTAAAAAACCTGATAAAACCTAACATTTTATAATTCATTCTTGACCCAACCATTCACTAAGCTCTCCAAGTGTGAATGCTCATTTCCAGATTAAAGATGATTACAAAACTTTCTGGCTTGTCCATCCTTTCATCCATCCATCCATCTGTATGTCTGTCTATCCACCCACCCACTCACCCACCATCCCCAACCTTTGATGAAGACCTGGAATATGCCAGTTGCCTTGCTAGGAGGGAGGGAGGTTCCATGAGGTTCCATGAGGAATACATCCCAGACCTACCCTCTGGAGTATCATCTAAGGCGGGGGTGGGTAAATTTCCTATAAGTCACCATATGATGCATGTGGGAAGAGATGCTCCCAGGGGGAAGAGCACAGTGCAGGGTGAGTTTGTCAGAAGGGCAAGGCAGGGACACTTAGAGAAGGGCTCATGGGAACATGAGATAGCTGAGCCAACTCCTGAGCTTGAGTGGTTTACTGGGGGGACAGGGGATGGCATTCAAGGGACAAAGAACAAAGCGTTTGTGCAAAGGAAGGAAGATGTGAAGGAAAAAGTGTGTGTGCAGAGCAAGGGAAGACCCACACGGCTGCCAGGGCAGTAAAATGAAACAAGATCTTGAGAGTTCTACACCATGAAAGTCTCTCCAAGTGCAAGGAATGAGTTTTCCTTCCATAACCTTATGAGCCCAAAGGAATGTCTTAGTGAAGGCAAGCAGTAGGACTCAGAACATGATGGAAACTTCAGGAATGCCTGTGGTAGCTTTGACTGCACAGGAGGAAAACATTTCTTAAATTATCTGCACAAGTGTTCTGAATATTTGAACCGGCGCTGCATTATTTCCCAAGATATTTACTGGCTGTATCTACTGGGTGATCTTTATCATAAAGGAAATGCAACACGGCCAAAAGTCGGCATAGTTTTGCCTCAAAGATGGCATTTCACTCCCTTTATGCTTCCACCCCGTTTCATCGTGTTGAAAGATGAGCCCACACAGAGCTGTTCTACATTGTGTGAGTGATCTTTTGAAGGGTTTTATTGCTAATAATCAATATTAATTTTACTTTCATCAAACTATTCTCAAATCTCCTCCCTAAGCTTAATTATTACATATTTAGAAACTGAGGGCATACATGTATTTTCTGCCTGTATCTCTCTCACTAATAAATCAGCTTTTGGGAACTTGGAATGGTAAGAAGTAAACTTTCAGTGTTTTAATTTGGGTATCAATTGCATTTATTTTCAAGTATCAAAATAACCTCCTATGGTTACAATTGCTGTAATGTTAAATTTATTTCCCTGTGAGCCCTCCAAGTTCACTAAGCGTTACCGGGGCAATGTGTCACGCTGCTGGTTAGTGTTCCCCTGGCCTCTCATGACATGAATTGGCACGCTGAGCTGGGGCCTCTGTTCTTGGCCAGAACAGCGTGTAGGGACCAGAGCCGTAAGAAGACCTCAAGGAATCCATAAAAGCAGGGGCCTGAGTGTCTGTAACTCTCCAAAGAGACAACTGGAAAGCTCCGTTTGTTTGCAGGGTGACAACTTGATCGAATACCAGGATATAAATAAAGCTTCCTTGAAATCGGAGCTCATGGACCCAGGCTCAGTGTTTGGGTGGAACTATGGCGGATCAGAACCAGCATCTGTTCAGCAGTGCAGGTTGGCCTACCTGCCCTCGGGTGGTGGCCCACAGAGAGCAGCTGCCTGGCTGGCCTATGGAGACCTACTAATTCAGGAGGCTGAGTGTGCACACATCAACAAATCAAGGCATGATGGATGAATGGATGAATGGGTGGGTGTGAAAGAGGTGGCCGCCCCTGTGGTCAGGCCAGCCGGAGACGGACACAGTGGTCCAGTAGAGGGACTGGGCTTCCGAGGAGGCAGGCCTATCTGGCGTGGATTGGAAGGCAGATCTGGGGGCAGAGCCCGGTGTCCTCCTTGTATGCATGAGGATGGCAACACCTGCTTATTTGACTTGGCCTGGGAGCTAAATGAAGTGGTTGTAGGTAACGTGCCCAACTCAGGCCTAGTACCTGAGAGGCATGGGGCCAGCATGCACTTCCTTCCCCACTCCAAGGGCATGGAGGTGATACCAGCCCAAATGCAGCTCTCCGCTGCTTCATGGCTATGGCCTCAGGGAGTCGGTGGTACCAATTCATGGGGCAGTTTCAAAGATTATCCAAGACGATACAAAATAAATGGTATTTTAAAATGTGAAATTATTTTTTTTGTATTTGTCATAGATCTCTGGCACGGTGCTCGGTACCTAGCTGGCTTTCGATACATGTTTTCTGAGTGAGTCGAACACCTATTAGTTTGTTCTCATGAAAACCTTGAACAGAATGAGTGGGAACATTTTTCGTGTAAAAAACCAATAATGGTAAGCGAAACGTTAGCATTAGAACATCTAAGATGACATAGGCGGGCCACCTTATGTGTGAAAATATAGATCTAGACCTTAATATTTCAAGTATTTTCTTTTTTTTCTTTTTAAAAATTTATTTATTTCAGAGAGTGAGAGAGCATGAGCAGGAGGGGAAGAGGGAGAGGGAGAGAGAATCCCAAGCAGACTCTCCACTGAACTCTGAGCCCGGGTGTCCCTAAAGTATTTTCATAATATTCTTACATTGTAGTTTTCTGGAACATTTTGCAGAATAAAGAAATACGAATGGAAGATACTGTTAAAGGTGATGGTTTTTACCTTCACTAAGGACAAAGCTCTGAAGTATAGGAGGCAGGTGGTAGCTTGCCCCCAAGCAGGTGACCCACTAACCCAGTCTGCGTCTGGCTTGTGCCCCCCATGTATTTCAGCCCATCCTGGGATCTGCTCAATCCCCAGTGCAATTCTCCAGACAGAAACAAATGACAAGAGTTAGAACAGCCTTGAAATGCCATACAATCCATGCTACTGTTATTCAACATAGCGAAAAGTACTTGAGACCTTGGTACTCTACAGATCTAACTGACATTTCACAAAAACGTGACACTCTACCCTGGAAAACAAATAAAAAATCTAGTTCCTCAAAGAATTAGATAATAAAATGACCATGAAACGACCGAACAACCAAAAACCAGTTTTATCCTTTCTTATCATACTTTGAACTACTAATTCTAGACAATAATGTGCAATGACTGTATTAAGTTAAGCATTATTGTTGTATGTCATTATATTCTTAATTAAATTTCAGGGTCCTCTTGGAACAAAGACCCTATTAAATCATACGTCTAGGGCCAAGGAGCTGGAATGTAAGACATGCTGGTGTGGGGGGAAGCTCCCAATTTCACAACAGTGCCCAGGACACTAAGGTGATCAAATTTCAAAGTAATTCTGGGAGCCACGCATCTCAGACTGCAGGGTCAGGCTGCCAAGCCCTGGATGATGCTGACGAAGCAGAACAGGCACTAGATGAAGATGCAATGTTTGTAATAACTAATACTTTGGAAGAAAAAAGCTAAGTCCACATGGACAGCCCATGCTTTTTTTCATCTTTGCAGCGAAGGAATCCAATCTTTAATGAAAGTGCTCACTTGTTAGTCTATGTTATAATTTAAGAGCTATGCTCACGAAGACCAATTTCAGCCATACTGACTTGGTTGAGTTAAGCATCACAACTTAACACCCCAAATAAAACCAACATTTTCCAATGTCTGTGTTGGGAATTTATTGGGGGATTTCCCGACTGTGAGTACACTGTCCCTGGATCCATTTTCTCATACTGTCGATATTAGACTCACCAAAAATACCAACTGAAAATGCCATCACAAATTATGTTATAATGGGATCTCTAATTTATCACAATTATTTGTCTTTCAAGTATGGGGTACTTTATCACTAGTTCCAATGATCACTCTACAAGGCATTGGAGGACAGAGGAAGCTGTGGCCATATAGCTGCGTGAATTTATACACAAGTATGTAAACACACGTACACCAAATACACATCTATTTGTCCAGGAGACAGACGCATATGAATTTGCATTATCTATTAACTTTTCAAAACCAAGAGTCCCTTTCTAAAATAGCATTCACCCATCTATCACCTGCTCAGCAAATGTTCACTGAGGAGTCCTTAGGTTCTAATTGCTGGTTTAGGTAATTCGCTTGTTATTTATTTATTTGTTTTTCGAAGATTTTATTTATTCGAGAGAGAGAGAGATAGAGAGCATGAGCTGTGGGGAGGGACAGAGGAAGAAGCAGACTCCCCGCTGAGCAGGGAGCCTGATGTGGGACTCGATCCCAGGACCCTGAGATCGTGACCTGGGCTGAAGGCAGATGCTTTAACTGACTGAATCACAGGGTGCCCTGCTTGTTATTAATTTAAATTCTCCCATCAGCAAACTTTTGGATCTTTATACTTCAACCTAACAAAACAGACCTATTTTCATAAAACTTCAGAAGGAGTTCATTGAAAAAATAGAATTTTAGAACTGAAAATGTTCTGAGATGCTTTAATGCACATGGAAAATAACCTAACTGCCCACCGTATCTAAATTTGAGATTCAGGACCCTAGAGATTCTGGCCACACAAATGGTATTAACTTAGAAAATCCATCAAGTTTATTTATGTTGAAGAACAATTTCACATCATAGGGAATGAGGTGACATGATTGATTGTAAAGGATGTAATTTTTTTTTAACTGAAAAGATATTTCCTCTACTGTCCTTGATAAAGTAACTGGTAGCAGGCTTACTTTTCTGCATACAAAAACTATATGAAACTGGACAAAATATATGGGCCAGTTGTTTTAGACTTTGCAACTGGCAGCACAGTATGTGTCCCTGGAGAGAAGGAAATCCGTAAGGTGAGTGTCACCTTTGCTCCATCAATCTGCCTGGAACACTTGCCTGACACGGTGCAGCCAGGTGGGTCCCAGGCAGACAATGACAATCTCCCTGCGTGGGGGATGCAGAGATCAGAGTTGGGGCCTACAGAAGTAGCTAGAACCTGTGGGACTCTGTGGGACCAGAAAGTAAAAAGTCACATTAAGTAAGGGGCCCCAGATGCCTGCCTGAGGATTTCCTGCGGGCCCTTGCTTATCTGTGGGGTGAATGGTTGATGCACTAGTGGACACCTCATGTGGCCCAGATCAGGGCAGCAGCTCTGGGCTGCACACTGACCGGCTGGACGACAGAGGCCACACCATGCTGGGAGACACCGGAGTTTGGGCCCACACGTGAGGGAGAGACCTCAGTGGAGAGCCCAAAGTCCACGCTCCCAGCCAAGAGCCCAGGTTGTGCCTCTGGCTAAGGAAAAACTGAAAGAGAAGAGCCCTAAGGAAGAACCAAACAAAGCCTCAAAGGATGAAGGGATCCACCTATTATAATAATACAATACAAATTTATATAACATAAAGTGATACTCTATTATAACATGTTATAAATATACTCAAGGCTATAAAGGAAAAAGTGGACAGAGTAAGTGAAAAAAGATGGGAAATTTCAGTAGAGAATAGAGAGTATAAAGAATCAGATTGTATTTCTGGAAACAAAACTTAAACTAACCTAAATGTAGAGTTTGCTGAATTGTCTAAATGAATGATTAGGTATGCCAGGAGATAAAGATGATGATCGGCTTTTTATCAGAAACAACCGAGTCCAGGAGAAAATGGAATTATAACTTCAAGATGTGTATAGGAAAAAAAATAAAGAAAAAACTGTTTAGAACTCTATATTCAGGAAAACGATTCTTCAAAACAGAGGTTGAATTTAATGACATTTTCAGATAAAGAAAACCTGACCTACCCTATGCCCAGCAGATGCAGGCTATAGAGAACGCTAAAGAAAGATCTTCAGACCAGAGCAAATGATACAATTTGGAGTTGATCCATAAGAAAGTGTAAGTACTACATGGTGCATTTGTGGGTGAATATAAAAGGTAACATTATTTTATTTAAAAGCAACTCCCTATGTTAAAGCAAACATTTTAACATTGTGTCATGTTGCTTATAACATGCACAGAGGTAAAATACATGATGAGGACAGTACAGCGAGGGAGTCACATGGGCTTACTTGTTTTAAGGATCTTGCATTTTGCATAGAGTGGCACAATGTTAAATCTAAATCGACTGTAAATTAGAGATGTAGCTATAATCTCTGGAACAACCACTAAAAATCAGTATAAGGAAGTATAGCTAAAATGTAAATTGAGGCAAAAAAACAGGATTGTTAGAAAGAAGTTTAATGCAAAAGGAAATAAAGAAATAAAAAAGAAGTGTGACCAATGGGAAACTAAATTTAAAACCTATCAACACAATTCTCTGCATTCACATCATAGAGAAGAAAAACAGTTTAAGTACATCCCCAGAAGGAGAAAAAGCATTTCACAAAAGTCAACACACTTTTGTGATAAAATCTCTCAACAATTTAGGACCAGAAAGGAACTTATCAGTTTGATAAAGGGTGACTATGTAAAACCAACAACTAACATCATATTTGTTTTTTTTTATTAAGTTTTAATTGCAGTATACTTAAGATACAGTGTTCTATTAGTTTCAGATGTACAAGTGCCCAACAAGTCTCCATGTGACTCAGTGCTCATCACAACAAGCGTGCCCGTAATCCCCATCCCGTTTCCCTGATCCCCCCCCCACCCACGTCCCCTCTGGTAACCCTGTTTGTTCTCCATAGGTAAGAGTCTGTTTCTTGCTTTGTCTCTTTTTTCCTTTATTTGTTTTGTTTCTTATATTCCACATATGAGTGAAATCACATGGTATTTGTCTTTCTCTGACTGACTTACTTCACTTAGCATTATCCTCTCTAGTTCCCCCTGTCATTGCAAATACTTTACTTGGCATTTACAAAGTTCCAGAATAAGCAAACTGTATCTATGGTGATAGAAATCAGAACAGAGTTTGCTTCTGGGTGGGGAAGGGGCTGAATGGAAGAGGGCATAAGGGAACTTTTTGGCTTTATGGAAGTAAGCCATGTTTTGATCAGCATGCTGGTAACACGGGTAAACACAGTTGTTAAAATTCCAACAGTACACCTAAAACGAATCCATTTCACTGCATATAAATATTCCCTCAGTAATAAAAGATGAGTAATAAAAGATTTAGCTTCTTACTTCTTGTATTTTCCAAATGGCGCCAGAGTACCATGGATGATACAGTCCATGGTCACACAGAATAAAAGAATGTGGAAACCTGAGCTTTGCTATAGAAAACCCCATCTTTGAAAAAAAAACAAATTAGTCCTATGCTCCTGATCTTAACAGACATAAGAGTAACACACTCAAAAACTTCCTAGGGATTTCACGTGGAAAAGACAACATTAGGGACACAGGCTGATGATAACTGATTCATTGCTCTTGTCCCAAGCTGACATTACCCAGCTCGGGAGATGAGGATCCAGTCCTGGAACACGGTTGTAACTGACCTTACGGGGAAATCTCCTTGAGTTTAGAAGAAAAGAGATTATCATGTTAGATTTAAATTGGGAATATTCCCAGTACATTATGAAATGTTGGAGGTTTCTAGAGGATCATATTTTTGTCTATTTTCCTCTTGATTTCATTATAAACTAGAATAAAAGAAATCTCAGGAATAGGTACTTTCATTTAATTTATGGGTAGCTTTCCTTGTGGTTCAGTACAGCAAGTTCCCAGATCCCGACCTGCCCGTCCAACATGGGCGCACGTCTCCGTGTCACATGCAGAATTTATGACAGGAAGCCACGCCAGTCATGTCCCCGGGCTCAGCGGCGCACATCACACCTTCTATGAGAAACTTCTCTAGAAAGGTTGTCCTTGGGGAATTTAATAATCAGAAGCTCTAGACAGGTTGTTGCTCCATGGTAAATTCTGCTTATATCTGAGGAAGGTAAAGCAGGGAGGAACTATTTTCTTAACAGCATTTGAAAAAAATGCAGAGCATTAATTTGCCAACTCACACCAACCAGAGGTTATTGCTGAGCTCCCACGTGATAAATCAGAAACAAGAGCTGACCTAACAGGCCAAGTCAGTTCTCCGATGAAAAGCGATACCCACACCAGGATCCACCAGCTTCTTCTTTGCCAGGAGAACATATGTTTCCTGTTATCTAAGACCAGCTCTAACTCACAGGATTTGACATTTGGTAGGTACCCAATAAATGCAGAATACATCAATGTCCGTTACACTGAATAAAACAGTTTTATGAATCATATTGCACTGAGCATTTGCCAATAATCACTTGCCTTTTTAAAATCCAGCATGCAGAGCTTGGCTTTCTCTCCAAACTGCCACTTGCACTGAGTGTTGGCGTCATATAACTCTCCCGGCAACTTCTCGGGGTACTTGTACTCCTTCACAGGCTTCGGCTGATCCGCGAGGCACAGCGCTTGGGCAGTGCTGAAACGCACAGGGCATGGGGGGCTAGCGATTCCGCAACACTTACCGGAGATGCACCTTCCGCGAGGCCGGGCTCTTCTCCTGCAATCTGACAACATTCCCTGTGCAGCGAGGTGGGGGGGGGGGCATTCTCCTCTCCTGCGGGCCCATATGACATTTATCTCCATTCTATTTAAATACAGGGGCCACATATCTTGAAACTGCTCCTACTGCATTTCATCTTTTCCAGGAAGACAATTTGTTCTTCATTAGATTCCTCAATCTTATCATGGGGAAAAGTGAGACGGAATAGCACAAGATGTTCAGTGTGAGAAGTGCCAACTGCAGACACTTTTATGTACACTTCTGGCCATGAGTGATCAAAAGATGGAAATGGGCATTGTGGAAGGCTAGCAAAATCCACCTATTTCAAAGACAAGAATTTTCTTTCTTTCTTTCCCCCCACTCCGTCCTTACCTCCCTTCCTCCCCACATCCACTCTCCTCGTCCCCCCTCCCTCCTTTCCTTCCCTGGGCCAGGGGCCACCTGCACACAAGCTCACAGCCTCCAGAGGTTCCCCATGGAACACAGCAACAATTTCTACCAGCAATGCTCTATGCTCAAGCTAATTTCTGACTAGATCCCGAAGTCAAGAAGGAAATTATCTCTGCTTAAGTTCACTAGCAGATGGCTAAAGACCAACTAATGATTCCTTCCTCCACGCACATGGTATTCCCTTCCCTAGCAGGGACAGGCATAGTTATAATTTTTGCATTCGGAGGGAGGGCGAACAGCGTTGGCATGTAGCAACTAAATCTTGCTTGCCAATTTCAATAAGCCAAAAAAAAAAAAAATCCCTTCTATGTTCCCAATATATTGAACGATGGCAGACCTGCCCGTGGATCCCTACACTTTTCTTTGCGTGGCTGCCCACCTCGACTGGGAACTTTCTGGCCTCAGTCTCCACCCCAGTCTCAAATTCCACTGCCTTCAAGTCCACTCCTGCATGCCTTCGATTCACAGTCACCCATGAAACACGAGGGTGGCCCCAGCTACTGTGGAGGAGACATCAGTCCTACATAAGAGGAAATCAGAAGCCCTTTCAGAGCACACTGGGAAGTATAGATTAAACCAAATGATGGGACAGTGTTAAGAGCAGTGGCCGACTCACTGTGAGCATTCAACAAATGACCTATCACGGTCACTAGGATCATACCGCAAAGGGATATTTTTAAGTAAAGAAAAACAATTAAAAGCATAATTAGCACTTCAAAACAGGTGTGACTTGGCAATTTTGGAATTCCATAGAACCTTTCTCTGATGGATCTTAAATGATTTATACATACGAGTTCGGTGTTCCCCATTATGTCCCTGAGGCTACGTCAGGGTGGCAATATGATCCCCGTCCTCTGGACAGGAAACCAGGAAAAGTCAGCCAAACTGACTGGCCCCAGCACGGGACTAACAATTAAAACAGTATCACGGGTTCAGGAATTTTTATAGATTGCGTAAATGTCTAAGCACAGGGCATGAGGACAAGGTACCCACCTGGCCATGAAAAATGCAGTGCACAGACTGGGAGCCTGGAAGAAGCTGGGAGCCTGCCAGGAGGTGCAGGAACACACATATCACTGCTGGGATGTGCAGGTCGGCTCCGATTAGCTTCACCTTTGAAGAAAAGCAACTCCCCATGTGGATCTCACCCTTGTGCTCCTGATTAGGCTCCTGCTGGAGCCCATCTGCTCTTTATCCCTCGGCCTCAGCAGGTGTCATGGCCAAGCGCAAAGCCAATGGGGCAGGTGTGAGAAAACCCCATGGCATGGATGTTGAAAGGAAAAGCCACTGCACAAACAATCCACCATAGTATCCACGTGGACAAATCGTGTTTTGACCCTGTGGCATGCCCCAGACGAAAGTCAGGTTGCCTACATGTGATAAGCAAAACAATAAAGCTTGTAGGAGATCGTGTGGAAGAATATATTTGTGACTCTGGGGTAAGTAGAGATTTATTTATTCTAGCAGCCCACAAAAAGTACTAACTCCAAAGGAAAAGTATGGATTAATTTAGACTCTGTTACAAAAAGGAAAACTTCTGTTAACCAAACGACACCATTAACGGTGGAGATACCAAGTCATAGAGTGACAGAAGATACTCACATAATATGTATTTTACATAATGAACAAAGTATTCCGAATATATAAGGTACTCCGATCAAGAGACAAGAAAAAATAAAAAAGCCTAATTTTTAAAAGTTCACGAGAGATCTGAACAGGCACTTCACTCAAGATTATTCAAATGACCATTAAACATGTAAAAACACACTCGTTCTCTTTAATGGCCACTTCGGTATGTCACTAGACACCCAGCAAAATGGCTAAAGTGGAAAAGACCGACAAGACCAAGTGTTGGCAAGGGTTCAGCACCCTGTGAATGCTCATAACTGTGGGCATGTGACTTTGCACAACCACTCAGGAAGCTGTCGGGGTGTCTCCTGACACTGCAGACTGTGTATTCATGACCCTAGACTTCCAGTCCTACAAATAATCAGAGACATATATGTAAAACAAAAGAATATGCAGAGTATCATTTCTTAAATAGCCCCAAATTGGAACCTCAAATGCCTCTCACCAACAGAATGGATTCATAAGTTGTAGCATATTCATGCAATTAAAAATAAATAAATGATGCTATATTTTTATGCAGCAACAAGGATGAATCTCATACTTGTTATATTTAGCCAAAGATCCCAGATACAGAGTAGTATGTAGCTCATGATTCTGTTCATAGCAAGTTCAGAAACAGGCAAAACTAGTCTATGGTGGCCTGTATCAGGAACATCGTCATCTCTGGCGAGGAAGGAGATGATGATGAGAGTGAGTACGGGGTTCTGGGCTGTTCACTGTGCTCTGTAGCTTTTTATAAAGGTTAGTTAACACATCCATTATCTCACATCCTTAGATTTGTGAATGTTGTATCATGAGAACTTTTTTTTTTTTAAGTAGGCTCCACACTGGGTGTGGAGACTACCATGAGGCTTGAACTCACAGCCCTGACGTCAAGACCTGAGACGAGATCAAGAGTCAGATGCTTAACTGACTGAGGCTCCAAGGTGCTCCAAGAGAACTTGTAAGATCTACTCTCTTAGCAACTTTCAAACACAGAATACAGCATTGTTCATAGTCATCATGCTGTACATGAGAGCCCCCAGAACCTACTTATTTTAGAACTACGAGTTTGTATGTGTGACCACCTTGACCAGCGCTCCCAACCCCACCCCGGTAACTCTTTGTTGCTACAAGCTTAAATTTTTAGATTCCACATATAAGTGGGATCATACAGTTTGTCTTTCTCTGACTTATCTCTCTTAGCATAATGCCCTCAAGGTCCATCCGTACCGCCAAAAATGGCAGGGTTTCCTTCTTTCTCATGGCTGAAAAATGTTCATTATGTGTATGTGTGTATGAATGAACTGAAATTTGTTCTTTCCATTATACCCCAAAACATTCTTAATGGGCTCTCAGGTCAAATCAGATTTTCTCATTGACAGAGGGAGGTATGGGTGTGGCAGGGGATCCACGCACTCCTCAAACTCCTGGCTCCCAGAGATGGTCCCTTTTCCCATGGACTGACATAGATCCATGGGGTCAGAAGGAAGGCACATTCACTGGTCTGTGAATACCATGATTCAAATTTTTAAAAAGTAAATTGAAGATGAGTCCCTGTTGTCATTAAATTAAAATAATGAGTTAAAATTTCCTTAGTCCTAGGCCTCCCGGACACAGACATGAGTAAATGGGATGAGGTCTGTGTCTGGTCCTGGGAAATGACACATGACTTCACTGAGTAGGTTGATGAATTTACTCCAAACACGTATCTGTCCTTCTTGACTACCAACTATGGAGAAACATTGTGCTGACAACTTCAGACTGACTGAGTTCCTTTTTTTTTTTTTTTTTTTTTGATTTTATTTATTTGACAGAGACACAGCAAGAGAGGGAACACAAGCAGGGGGAGTGGGAGAGGGAGAAGCAGGCTCCCCACTGAGCAGGGAGCCGGATGCGGGGCTTGATCGCAGGACCCTGGGATCATGACCTGAGCCGAAGGCAGACGCTTAATGACTGAGCCACCCATGCGCCCCTGAGTTCCTTTTTTCAAATATATTTTTTCCAGGTACCAAATGCGAGACTGCTAATAAAGGAAAGCGGATTCATCTTTAAAAGTTAGTCACTTATCCTTACTCATTGTTGGGATCGTATCCAAACGGCCACCTAATTGGTGGAGAACATAACAGGATTGTGATTACCTGGAAATCAGGAAGTCAGCAAACACGTCAAAGAAGACAGTCTCCAATTGATTAAAACAATGAGACTTCTCTGCTAACACAGTATAGAAATGGCCCATTCACCACTGGTCATCCCATGGGAACAAAAGCTTGAGTGACTTTGACAGCAGGAGGCTCTCTTGGGAAATTTAATCTTTTAAGAGAACAAATTTGTGAGCGTGCATAATGTTGTGTTTCTGTTTATAATCATGTGGCTCAGCAAAATTAGCAAAGTTCTTGAAAATAAAAGTTTATGACTGAATGACCACACAAGGGTTTTACTGACTGACACAAAAACAAATGAGCGAACTTGAGCAGACATTGAACCGTCCCGGGATCCCAGAGCAAACATGTCTCTGAACCACACTCTTGGCAACCCCTCCTAGGGCCACGGTCTGATTCGAAGATCACAGCCCATATCTAATGTCATCAAAACAAGTGCTCTCTAAGCATATAACTATTTCTTTCCACGAGTTCTCCTACAGTTCTTGGCAGCTTAGCAGCAATCTGGACTCTCGTATGACGCTGATTCTCACCGTACACCCACACGTTGCAGCCCCCGCTCTCCACGTTGTCTGGGCACATTTCAAAAAAATTAAAAAGGTTTATCTTGATCAAAACCATGAAGATGAAAAAGCTATAAAAATTTTGAGGGGAACCTGGATGGCTCAGCTGGTTAAGTGTCTGCCTTCGGCTCAGGTCATGATCTCAGGGTCCTGGGATCGAGCCCTGCACTGCGCTCCCTGCTCAGCAAGGAGTCTGCTTCTGCCTCTCCCTCTGCAGCTCCCCGTGCTTGTGTGCTCTCGCTCGCACGCATGCATTCTCTCTCTCAATCAAATAAATAAATAAAATCTTTGAAACATTTTTTTGAAAAATAATCTAGAAAATTATAGAAAGGATTGATACAGAAAACTTCAATGTAAACTTAGGTTTGTGCTCTTTTTAATTTTTTTTTCTTTTTTTTAAATTCTTTATTGTTATGTTAATCCCCATACATTACATCATTAGTTTTTGATGTAGTGTTCCATGATTCATTGTTTGTGCATAACACCCAGTGCTCCATGCAGAATGTGCCCTCCTCAATACCCACCACCAGGCTAACCCATCCTCCCACCACCCTCCCCTCTAGAACCCTGTTTGTTTTTCAGAGTCCATCGTCTCTCATGGTTCGTCTACCCCTCCGATTTCCCCCGCTTCATTCTTCCCCTCCCGCTACCTTCTTCTTCTTCTTTTTTTTTTTTAACATATATTGTATTATTTGTTTCAGAGGTACAGATCTGTGGTTTGTGCTCTTTTTTATTACAGAAAGCAGAATTCTTCATGCACGTGCACACGCAAACATACACACACACACACACACACACCAAACAAAACTGAACAGCTCCAAGAAACAGCTACAAACAATGCTAACAATCCCCAACTTGACTCCACAAGGAGCCCACACAGGGAAGAGCAAACGTTGAGAGGACCTCGAAGTGTCATGTCACCAGTAGAATAATGTTGACACTGCCTTTTTTATATTAGAAATAAAAGAAAAATGATCAAGTGTATGTTACTAGAATACAGATTTGTATTGCCAGGTGACAGATACTGTCCACGAAATTTTCACTCTTCTTGGGTGGCATGAACTATGGAAGGCAGCCTTCATTCCTTTAGGCGGTAAAATATCTTGACTGCTAGGAAGTCTCATGGTAAGAACATGAGGAAAGAACCCAGGCTGAAGGTGAGTGGTCAGGATGCTGGCTCAGAAGACTTGCTACAAGCTCAGAGGAGGACTGAGGGGAAGGGCAGCGAGAAAGGGAACCCAGCCAGGGGCTCAGGGCTCCGCGAGGGCACGGGGAGCAGCCTCAGACAGTGAGCAGACAGGGAGTATAACCAACAGAAACACCAACATGACCCTGCCCCGAGGTGTGCTAGAGACAAGATGCTGTAATTTGTGCAACAGAAAAAAGGGAAGAAAAGCTTTACTGACAAAATGAGAAAGAAAGAGAAAAGGAAAGAAAGAGAAAAAAATGAAGAAAACCTAGAGCCCAAGATAAGAAGCTCCGTGGGGCGAGCCAGTGAGGCCAGTGGAAGCCTGAAAGGTGTCTTACGGGGTACAACAGGAGCAGGGGACTTTTGCCCTCGACTCCTAGCTTCGAATAACGAGTTCTGGGTTCTGACTATAGGCACGCGCATCAGTTGCAGAGACTTGGAAGGCGGATATCTGGCTGCTAAGCTGGTGGTCCATGCGTACGCCAATCTTTTTTCCTTCCCAGCTCTGGTGGGGCCAGCGTGGGTCATGCACCCTGCCGCTACGCCTCCCTCCACGTTCCCTGTTCAGTTGCTGGCATCGTGTCGTGGCAGAAACAGGAGAGGGACAAGCATGTGCTCCTGGTGTCTGGGACTGGCCCAGGATGGACTCACTCTAGCGTGGGGTCCAGAGGAGGGTAGAATTGGGGAGTCATCAGGTGCCATGGGTTAGCTCACACACAGATATCCACTGAGGTACGTCCTACCAGTGTTTTTACTTTGTGTGTCTACCAATACTTATAAGCACTCACTATGTGACATAATTTGTTACAGGTACGTAACATATATTTTATACAGCAGATGTATAGCAGGGTATTCTGTAAATGTAAAGGATATGAATAAAATATATAGAAACACATCTATCAACACATGCACTTGGATGAATCTATAGCTCAGTTTAGATATACATAGGCACAGTTTCATTTGTTTCCAAGAATTCTGTGCTGGCAAAAGCCTCGCTTTCCTTGAAATACCAGTATTTGCCCTATTTTCTGTTCATATGAATAGATTTGATCTCCTTTCTTGCTTTGGTTCCTAGAAAGACCTTTGCCCAATTTCCAGCTTCAATATCACAGGCAAAGCCTATATTTTAAGACTGATATATTTGTGTGTTTATTCCTTGTTCTCCATTTTTTTATTTTCATTTGCTTTTCGTATTCATCTGTCAATTCTATTTTTTTTGAGAGGGAGAGCGTGCCTTTGCAGAGGGGCAGGGCAGAGGGAGAGAGAGAAGCACAAGCAGGTTCCATGCCCAGCGCAGAGCCCAGCAGGGGTGGGGGGATGGGTGGGGCTCAATCTCAGGACCCTGAGATCATGAGCTGAGCCGAAATCAAGAGTCACACGCTTAACCAAATGAGCCACCCAGGCACCCCTAATTATTTTTTTGTATGTTTTCTTGTCATAATCTGCTCCAAATTCTTTTTTTTTTTTAATTTTTTTTTTTTAAGATTTTATTTATTTGCGAGAGAGAGAATGAGAGACAGAGAGCATGAGAGGGAGGAGAGTCAGAGGGAGAAGCAGACTCCCTGCTGAGCAGGGAGCCTGACGTGGGACTCGATCCCGGGACTCCAGGATCATGACCTGAGCCGAAGGCAGCCGCTTAACTGACTGAGCCACCCAGGCGCCCTCTGCTCCAAATTCTTAAAGTAAGGTGGTTTGGTTTGTTAGCTTTGTCCAAGAATATATCACTGACATAAGAGTACTAACTCTCATACCTTCCTTGATGAATCTCAGAAATGTGCGTGCATTTAATGGAGAACTCGCCAGGAAGGCCCTTTGCCGCCAGCACTGACACATTTTGGAAAGAAGGAAGCACATGCTTTGTGTCTCCTTGAAAGAATCAGTGGATTATTGAGCATTGGCATGTTTGTCAGAGAGTGAGCACAAGCCTTCTAGGTGTCTGGCAAGATACGTTTCTGTGTCACGGATATGCATGTCCTCCTCCCTGCTGAGCGAAAGCAGTTCTTCCCAGGGCCAGGGAGACGAGAATGTTCCCGAAAGGACAAGGGTGGAAAGGGGTGTGTCCTCCAGGAGGCACAAGAACCTCGGAGCACGGTGTGCAGCACATGCCACCCCTGGGGCCCAGGAGAGTCCGCTCAGAAGGGAAGAGAAGGAACGCGGGGAGCTCAGGTGGGCGTGCCCCCGCAGTCCCAGCCCTGACGTTCATGACCCAGCCCTTGCAGGGTGGGCCCTCAGCTGCATGCTCCCTGCCAGGAGCACAGCCCCGTCCTGCATGCCCTCCACAGCCTTCTCCTCCCCTGGGAGCCGCGGGCTGCGGTGCCCAGCCAGCTCCCACAAGAGGAAGCGGCCACAGGATGGAAGGCCCCGGGCTCTGTGTGACCACACGCAGCAGGTCCGCTGACCGGGGCAACAGCGTGACACACGTCAGAAATAAGGTTAGGGTCTGCAGCTGAAACCAAACTCCAAACTCAACGTCCTTGAGACTTGGGGGACAGTCTGCCTTACTAGCAGATCTAAGGCCACTTCTTAAAGTCCCTCCTTTCTCTAAAGAGTTGAAAATCTACTGACTTTCTCAGGGGGTCAAACCCTATCTCCCCAATGTCCTATATCCTAAATGAATTAGTGCTATAATAAACATTTACAAAAATAATTATTAAAATTGCAAGATTTTAGAGCCAGGCTAAGGTTTCCCCTTCTAATAAGAAATGTACTTTGTGGAAAAGAAAAGAAAAGAGAAGAGAAGAGACCCCCAAAAGTTACACTGCGTTCCCACTGTGTGCACGGTAGGTCTTCTACTCACGAATAAAAAACATTTAGTCACAGAAATGAGAATTTAAAACAACTAAATGTTAGTGACAAATAGTTTGATTTGGTAAGTATCTTGGGTTTCATTTGAGTCTAAAGGTCAAATGATGTTGGATTCAGCCTGCAAGTCTTTGAGCTCTAAGGAAGTATCTGACAAACTTCTTGGCCGAGGGAACATCTCAAGACACCTTCGAAGGGGAGCCATCTTGGGAAGTCGCAGCCCGGCCGGGGCTGCTTGGACAGAATCAGGCACTAAGAGACACACACCGAGCTCCGGGAGTTCATACCTTAAAAATTTGTGCAGGTACTGGCGGCTGCAGGGTGACCAGGAGAAGACCCCGTTGCGTCCTGCCAACGTGGGGGACATGATGTTGCCCTCAGACTTTTTGCACACGTTCCCTTCTCCATCATGGACCATGCCAAAGCTGTGAGAGAGAGAGACGGTTCTTTCAAAACCAAGAAAAGGGTCAATGACCTGACAGACTCCATCAAATGCACGTTCAACACGGTGGACTCCTCCACGCCTGCCTGCCCATCAGGCAGAAAGAAAATGTCTGAACAGCCAGGTCGTAGAACATAGCCACGCATTCGCAGACCTTTCCTGAAGAACTAACCTTCGGTCAGTTGTTTGAAAGGGCACACCAATGCAGAATGAAGCACGCGTCGGATGTCTGCTAAGGGCCCATGTTTTAATTATAAAAAAGCACTCTACGTGGGGTGTGGAGGGCAGGTCCCTTGACCTTGATAAAGCTGACAGCGTTCCCTCCTGCTCTCATCTCTCTACACTCTTCTGCTCACCAGGGATTTTCAGAATTTCCACGTGTTTGTCAGAAACACAAACGTGGTCTCCCCGGGTGCGTCTGATGCCTCCCACAATCGGAGAACCGACCACCTGCTAGAGCTCCCTGTGGGGCTGACCCTTTGTCCCCACTCCCACCAAGGGCTGCCCCACCTCCTGCCAGGTCTGCACTGCTGGGGGCTGTCACGGCTGGACAGTGCTTGACCTCATTCCCTATGTCCCTTTGGAGGACGTAGCTCCATGAAGCCCAGTGGGCAATCTTGCGGCCTTTATCTGCAGGAATTGTTTGAAGGTACACCTGTTCCTTCTGCTTCAAAACCAGACCACTCTGGGGTGCCGGCCCTAGCTGAGTAGAGGGGACCATCTCAAGCCTCATTGGCTCTTGGGGTACTTAATAGGGTCCTTTACAGAGGTGCCAACTGGCACCCCTTCACTGTCACCTGAGGAAACTCTAGCCCTACACCTATAAGAATGCCATGAACCGAGTTGCTACGTCTCTCCACCAAGTCAGCTTCTTCTTAACTGCCTAGAGCTTTGGCTGCAGGAGTTTCTCACACTGCCATCTTCATCTACCCTAGAAAGAGCACAACTAATGGCTCAGGAAGAAGGCCTGGGCGATTTGGGAGTTCTATATGACCCTGAAGACTTCCCATGAGAGCAAACATATTCTTAGAGGGTGGAGCCATTGTTGGCCATTAATGTCTGGTAGCTGCCAAATCACTGGATGGATTCTTAGATAATGGGGTTCCACATGAGTGGGGTACAGAGCAAAGGGGAAGGCAAGGGGGCAAAGCAAAGAAGGGCAAGATTGTTACTGGGTCTGGGGACATTCCAAGAATGCCACCAAGAATCCCATGACGAGAGGAGGCAGGGCAGCAGGGACAGAAGACTCCCAACACTGGGGAAGGGGGCTCCAACCATGGGCCAGGGAATCTGTATTTGCAGCTGAGGCTGAAAACACATTTCCCCCACTTTACTGGCTTACTTATAGAGATTTAATAGTATCAATAAAAATAACTCACACTTGTAAGCGCTCACTAGTGTTCAAACAGGATATTAAACACCTTATCTGTATTTTTTAACTTAAGCCTCCCCAAAAGCCTATAAGGCAGGTAGAATATCGCGACAGCAAGACTGAGGACTGGAGGAGAGCCATGTCCACCGTCTCGGACTCAGGACTGCAACCTGATGCTCCGGCATCAGAGCCCAGGCGGGACCCGGGTAAGAGCGTAACACGAGCACCATTGAAGGGCGTATCCAAGGAAATCTGGCGTGCAAACATTGTTGAATTTCTGCAAAATTCCTGCTCAGTACCAAGGGTGATACAGATGGGAGTCATTTCAGCCTCCACCCATCCTCTGAAGTTCTATTAAAGCAATCAATCAAGGCCGGGGTAACCATATAGCAGAGGAAATGTGTCATGGCTATGAAAAGGATTCAGACTGTAATCACATATGGGTGTCTGCCTTGGGGAGAAAGTTAGGAAAATGAACAACCAAAGTACACTCCCCTGGCGGGCCCTTGACCTGTGTAGACAACACGTGCATTGTGGTCCAGTAAGTGCCCCAGGTAAATGTGCTACCACTCTGCCCACATTTCTAAGGACATGAAAGCCACAACAACGCAGATCTGGGGACATGGGGGTCTTAAACTTTTTCATCTAAGATATTTTCCATGATTCTTTCTATAATTGATTTTCAAACTCTGCTGTGCGTCAGAATATCTGAGAAACACACCTCTTGGTGTGGCTCCCCAAAGTCCATTCTGGTATAAATATATATATATATA